AGATGCTAGGCGATGCACGTCAAGACGCTGCCAACATCCAGACAGGTTTGATGACGGACGTCTCTGCTTTTCGGAAGCCTGGTGCGGAGGCGAGGAGTTTGGCTCGGGCAATTCATCATGGCCTAGATCCTACAAGATCAACTCAGACGTATCCTGACTGGAAGACACAAGCAAAGCCTGACCTTGTTGCATGCAAGATGTCGGCCGAACGTTTTGCTCAGCTTGACATCTGGGCTTTGAAGTCCCACAAGACATAACCACATTGGGTCTTCGGTTCTGCGGTCAGGGAGACGGTTCAAATTAGGGCACAGGGGCCAGGGATACAGCTCAAAGCAACGATGGTGCATCGCCCAATCCATGTCAGCCCTCGGCGCAGGATTGCAAACTTGACCCAGCTGCACGAGAATCCTGGTAGGCCACTGGCATGGACTTCATCAAGGCATCCAACCTGAGAGTTCTCCTGTGCGATACCGTCTCGCCGTGCTGCAAGTGCTCTTCATCGAGTCACCGGCTTCACCCTGCAGCCTCTGTCACCGCCTCGCTTGTCGCCTCAGACACTTGCGGCAAATGCTCCGTCGCACCCCGCTCTCAATGACAGTGACAAGACAAAACTTAATTCTGCGCCGTGAGGGCTATTATGCAACGCCCAGGCCGACTTATCTGCAAACAGTCGTGCACTTCCAATCTCGAACAAGATCCAGCCAACTGAGCAACATGCGAGGCGGAAGGTGAGAAAGTCTTCCATGAAGCGCTCCACCTCACGGTTTGGAACTGCGGGCAAGCAAGGCGGATGCGGACTGCAGGACCTCGCCCCGCACTTCGATCACGGCCTCGAGGCACTGACAGGTCGAGACCTGCACGTCCCCAAAACTCCCTCATGCAGTAGCTGGAACCGGCGCGGCAAGAAGGCTCAGACACCTTCTGAGATCCGGACAAGGTGTTTAATGACCGCAAGGTTTTTTTTTCCCTCCCGCCTGGCTAGGACGAACCTACGATGCAGGGTCTATCATGGCAACTCAAGCACACAGACAGGAAGCTCCCTGGAACTCCTCAGCTGCACATGGCTTCCAGCTTGCTTCAAAAAGTCCCCCGCATTTC